ATCTTTGATAGGGAGCAATCAGTAATGTCAATCATATATGTTAATACTGTCAATGGTACATAATAGAATCAGGTTGTAACCCAATAAATCTGAGCACATAGTTAATAATGCATGGGACAATAACTAATAGGAGAAGGATACAAATTATAGGACCTGAAAGAGAACTTAACCATGGAAACCAGTTTCTCAAGCCAGGCCAAGAGTCATCCATTTGAATTTTGTTGATCTCCTTTCTTATTTCATCTATCTGTTGTTGGATAACATTAGAATAATCTGTAATATTAAAACAGCTCATGCCTGAGAATTGTTGACAGCCCAAATGATGTCTCAGTAAAAGAAAGTCAATAGCTGCTCTATTTTGTAATATACTGAGGTTTGGAGTTCTTTCATCTCTTGATTAATTTCTGCTAAGACTTGTCGAAAGGTTAGCTGTTTTGCTAAAACTACAGGCTAATTTAGTGATTTCTCTTTGTATTCCTACCACTAGACCCAGGACTGGCAAAAAGAAAGCTGCTGCAATTGTGATGTCCAGTGGGTCCAGGAGGATTAAATTGTCATTGCAATTGGAGGGCAGACTTTGGGTAGCTTGGTGGGAAAATGCCAGAGATGGCAGTAAGGGAAAGATCCATCCAATAGGGCAGATCCCAGAGAAATTGGTAGGCAAAGCCATCTTATTACAGACAAAAACCCATCCTGTAGGAAGTCATTTGCCAAGGGGTAGGGAGATATTTTGTTCAATAGAACAATTTGGTGGGGGTAGGGGAAGAGTGAAATCTATACATAAACAATGATTTTGGATAATCAGTGAAGCTGGCAAGGCTGACTCTGCATGGGACACAGGCCAGTCTTGCTGTGTAGCCCTATCACCAGTGACTTTAACATAGTCATCATATTTTACAGACAGGCCTATAAGATTACTAGCTAACAATTGATGGACAGAGCTTCCTTCTTGTATGCAGAAGGAACTTTTGTTCATAGTGTCAACAGCCAATTATAACCCAAAGTTTTGATTATTTATAGAATTTAAGGGGCTCATAGAAATATCCACATTTAAAGTAGCACTTGAATAGACAGTATCCACCAGGGCCCCCTTTTTAAGCTTAATATAAGAATATTTTCCTGAATTTTGAGGGTGAGCTGATTATTTATATATTCAAAAATTTATATTATCCCCTCGAGACTGGTCTGTAAGATTTTTCCATGGTCCCTCCATGAATAACTGACTGAAAATTTCTTGGTTTTCCTTATATCATCTGATAGGGCCAATTATTGGATCTTGACAGGAGTAAGTACAATTTAATATTAGTGGGAATCTGCAATGACAGGTCCTACCTGGGCTACAGAAGGGGTGCAAGGTTTGTTGGGGCTAGCATAGCTAAAACCCAAGGATACATATATATTCCAACAGGTAAAAATCATTAGCATAATGTTTATAGTAATAAAGAAAAACAATAAGAAATTAGTAACAAAATATTAAACCTTGGAAATTTTAATTTTAAAGGGTCCATGCTCAGTCACTTTCCACCTCTGGCTGCTAGATTCTCCTCCAGTGGGTTCTGTAGGTGTCCTCTTAAGATGTGAATGATGAATCTATGCAGGAATACCAGCAACTTTGATGGAAATGGGAGTGCAGAGAATCATGATTTAAGGACCCTTCCACCTGGGTTTGAGGCTGTTAGTTTTCAAACGTTATATCAGCACAACATCGTTGCATTGAAATGAATGATCAGGCAATCAGTGTCCAATGGGTTGAGCAGCCTGGACCTGAGGAAAGATCTTATCCGTGATTAGTTGTAACCCTTTGAGTGCCTCTGAGATTGGAATGTCTCCCAGCAGATCTTGGTATATTCTGGGAACCATAGGTGGTGGCCGCCCATAAGGGGTGAATTTCTCCTGATAGGGAGTGTGAATGGGCCCTTAATAGGGCAAAAGGCAGAAGATCAACCCAGTTACCACCAGTCTCAAGAATTAATTTAGTCAGTGTTTCCTTCAGTGTTCTATTCATCCTTTCTACCTTCCCTGAGCTTTGAGGGTGGTACTTACAGCATAATTTCCAGTTTATTTTAAGGGCCTTTGAAATCAATTGAGATAATTTGGCCATGAAAGTTGGGCCATTGTCATACCCCAAAGTTAGAGGGAGGCCAAATCTAGGAACAATCTTAGTTACTAGTTTTTAAACTATTATTTGTGCCATTTCCATCTGGGTTGTAAAGCTTCTTACCCAGCCTGAGACAGTTTCAACAAAGACTAACAAGTATTTATATCCATATAGTCCAGGTTTAATTTCAGTAAAGTCTAATTCCAAAAATTCACCAGATACAGTACCTTGACTCCTGTTTTCTTGTGGAAGTTGGTTCCTTTTAGCATTTACCAGAGCACATTTCATGCAACAATTTGAGATATCTTGAAGCATTTCTTGATGTCTCAAAAGCCAAACATAGGATGAGATTAATTCTGACATCTTCTTGGGGGATAAATGCATTGCTTGATGAAGATCAGTTAACCATTTTCTCCCTAATAGCTTAGGTATGCAGATTTTTTTATCTGGGAGGGTCCACCAGCCATGACAGTTTTGTTGGGCCCCCATCGAGAATTATATCTCTTCTGTAGTGTATGAAGGAGTCTCCTCCTCAATTTTAACTGGAAGTTTTGGATAATTGGAGAGTTCTAGGATAGCTTGATATCTTGGCTCCCTAAGGACTATTCCCCTGGCTGTTTGATTGGCCAAGTTGTTACCCTGGGTCTGAGGACTATCGTCTTTGCGGTGTCCAGGCCAGTGGATAATAGCCAATTTATCTGGCAACAGATAGTCTACAGTAATTGAAGAATTTCTTGTTTGTTTTTGATGGTCTTACCATCTGAAGTTTATATATCTGTCCATGCACATGTGCTGTAGCAAAGGCATAGTGGCTATTGGCATGAATGAATGTTCACCCGTTTTCCTTCTGCCCATCTCAATGTCTGCATTACGGCAATGATTTCTGTTTTTTGAGCTGATGAGCCCCTGGGCAAAGCCTGTGCCCAAATAACTTCTTTTTGGCCTAAAACTACTGCTGCTCCCACATACCTTATTCCATCCTGGACATAACTGCTGCCATCAGTGTAAASGTCTGTGTCTCTGAGAGGAATGTCAGTCAGGTCTAGTCGAGTATCTTGGATGACACCCATAATTATATGATAAGGATCTATAGCAGAGCCCCCTAAACTTTGCTGAATGGATGATACAATAGGAAAAAATGTAGTGGTACAGTACACCCATCTCACTTCAACTTGTCACACATTTGCCATTATCTTGTCCCATATCCTAGGATCAAAAACAGCAGCAGCACTTATCCATGGGCTGGTATCAATTACCATGTCCCAGAACCTCTGGGCTTCTCTTATTTAGGGCTAAACCTGTAGTATTTAAGAGAGTGTGTAGCACTTGCAGCTGTGAGTCTTTGGAACTCAGTAGGTTCCCCATTTCCCTTTCCTCACCACTTTGTGAGGGGCCACACCTTGTCTCATAGGATTACTTCACGTCCCTATTCGGGCACCAGCAGTGTGGGCTCTCTCTCTCATCCTGCAAAGAGGTCCACAGAACAGGATAGAGGAGTGTTGCTGCAGAGTCACTAATCAAGATCTCTGGAGACCAAGCAGGAAGCAGGTCAAATTTTATTGTTTAGTTACCATGTATATATACTCAGGCAGTAGTTAAGTAGATTACAGGCAGCCACCAATGCAATGTTTGCTGTCYTTGTAGTGACCAATCGAGAAGTGGGCTGTGGAGCAAGCACATGGACTACTACACATGGCCTCACGCCCAGGGCTGTGCCTACTGGGTAAGAGGCCTGCTGCTCACATGCCTAGCACGAGGGAAGTGGCCTGCCACTCAGACGCCCTTAACGTATGCCATGTATGCAGTACTCCATGAACTTGTCCCCACAGTTAAAAAGCTCTTTTTAATTTTTTTAAGACATCGATGGATGCAATACCTTTATTGTATTAATTTATTTGTATATGGTGCTGAAGATCAAACCCAGTGCCTCACACATGCTAGGTGAATGCTGTACACTGAGCCACAACCCCAGCCCTAAAGAGCTCTTTCATAACTTAAGAGTAGGATGAACTTCCTTGAGTTCATCCTCTAGGGAATAATATGGTTCAAGGTTCTCTTTAGTTTCATTGTAGACATGGTTTCGTGGACAAGCCTTGATTCTGCATTCTTATACTCATGGATATTACTTTCTTTTGACCTCCTGAAACAGGATCTTCTTTTCTGTGAACCGATTCTTTGAAACATGGACTCTGAACAATAGAATCAAATACTAGAGAAATGGAAGCCCCAGATGACTGTAAAGTTTTCCTCTTTTGGACTTTGGTCAAATTCTTTCACCCACAAATTTCTGCAAATAGCTCCTCGTGTCACGCAGACATTCTGCCATCAGCCTCTTTCATATGTGAGAGGCACTGAGGATCCTTTATCTCTTCTTATGTAAGTGAATCCTCCCCCTTGCCAACAGCCAACAGTGAGAATCTTGGGCTTCTCACTTTCTTTGTCTGTCATTCCTGGGGGTAAGGCCAGGAGAATACTTACAAGAGAACATTAGTAGAATATAAAGAAAGTGAGGGTAAATAAAACAGTTAACATGATTTTTTCATATTTTTTTTGTCAGAAACAAGTCAACACACTTTGGTCTCATTTTGTGTTGATAAATTCATTCTTTTTGGTTTTTTGGTTCGTGGAAATTTATACAAGGGATATTTTCCCATTGAGTCATATCCCCAGTCTTTTTTTTTAAATTTTGAGACAAGGTCTTGCTAATATATATATTAGCTAAAGTAAGTTCACTAATCAGATCAACTTCTATGGTTCCAGAACAACTATAATTGCTCAACCTAGATGACTTTTTCTTCCATACCCTGGGATACTAACTGTACATGTAATATATAATTATTACACACAATTACCTATTATAATGTGAAATATAACATATTTAATTTTTAAAGAAAATTAATAAGGAACACTGAGATGATCTCCCTAACACAAGAGCCTGGGGAAGGTGGACCTATCATCTCCATTTGCAGGATTTCACCTTCCCAGAACTGGGCCATTTGGGTGCTACTACAACTCTCCTGTCACTTTCTCCACCTAATTCCACCTTCTGGTTGGGAATCTGACCTCCCTACTGGCTGCCTCATGCCTTTAAACTCCAGTTTTGTGACATAATTCTCCAACCAAACCTACTGCCACCTGCTAGAATCTTAGGCTTGCCATGTAGTTGTAAACAAATTTGAATCATCGCAAGTGACCAGTGACCAGTAACCACTCATCAGAGTGGCCAGTGGACAGTAAACAGTGACCAGTGAACTCCATACTGGGAAACACACATTCTCTAGCCTCAGCTACCCATACATCCTCTGGGGTGGTCTCCTCATCCTTTGTATCTGCAATTGATGTGATCTCTTCTCTGACCATTTCAGGTAAGGAAAGAAACTCTTTAAAGATTTTCATTAGACTTTTACCTTCCTAAATTTACTAATGGAGTCAAAAGAGCTTAAAATAATAAGGAAAAGGATAAAACTAGAAATCTAGACACCTAATTTCACTTTTGACTTTGACATGTACTAGGTATGGGACTGGACCATCTTTTACTCTCTCACAAAATCTGTTTCCTCATTTTCTACATGAGGATAACACACTGCCCATGCTCTGGTCCCTTTCTTTTCTAATATTGAGTCTTTTTTTGAGGGGGGTGTTTGTTTCAACAGAAAGAGAGAAATCCAAGGCAGGGTATAAAACAAGCACTATGTACCAGGAGGTTTTCTCTATAACAGTCTCCCTCTATGATTTCCACTTCAGTATTTTTTTAGTGCTGTTCAAAAAAAGGGACATTCACATATTTTGGAGCTTTCTGTTTAAACAAGTAAAAAAAGAAATAGAGGGAGAGGAGAGTGGTGGGACAGGACTGTAAGGAGGCATATATTTAGGGAAAATAAGTTTGTAACTTTAAGTACAGGACCCACAGGAACTTGGTGTGGCAGAAAATATAACAATATGGAAAAGAAGTGTGAATATAAAACAGTTGAAGAGTGTGGATATGATCTCAAGAAAAAAATGGTTGGTTAGAATGGAACATGGAAGAGAATCAAAGATTTTAAATTGAGACAGAGAGCATAGAGTGAAATGTTTCCAGTGCTGGAAAAAATGAGGCCGGTTTAGAGAATGTTTAGATTAACAGACAGTTACCAAGAAAACCAAGGCTAGAATTAGGGTATCACTGGGGAAAGCAGTTTATTAGAAAAGTCAAATTTGGTTGTTTGGGTTTTTTCTGTGGCCTCTTTGAACACAGACGACCTTGACCATTGTAACATTCATACTTTAGAAGTATGTTTTAGAAATGATTCTTCCTATAAACATGCTAATGAAAGTGGTTAGAGAGAGGGCTGGAGAAATAGCACTTTCCATGTCCTATTTTATTCTGATTTTTAAACTACATAGAAAAAAAACTACACTTTAGAAAAATGATGTGTCCTAATCTGCATCAAAAGGACATATTCCTTTATTTGATAGTTATTTTTCAAGCAGAAGCTGTTTTTTGTCTTTACAGTTTTTCTAAAACAGAGTAAATAAAAATAGTTATTATATAGTTATTAATGGTTTATAACCTAAGAACCAAAAGAAAGAACTGCATAAGAATAAAAAGTCAAGCTCCACATCTCTGATTCCACATTTATCTGAAATAATTTTGTAAAGCCTTTTGGGTTTTTCTACATTTCAAAGAATTGTTTTGTGCTGCAGGTATAGCTCAGTGGCAGAGTATATGCTTAGCATGCTGGAAGTTCTGAGTTTAATCCACATCACCAGTAAACATTAAAAAATGTTTGTTTTGGGTTGGGATTGTGATTCAGCGGTAGAGCACTCACCTAGCATGTGTGAGACGCTGGGTTCCATCCTCAGCACCACATAAAAATAAATAAAATAAAGGTATCGTATCCAACTACAACTAAATTTTTTTTTAAAGTTTGTTTCAATTGTACTATTTTATTCTAGTGTTGATGGCTTTCTCAGACCTCAGCAACAAGATTTTCCTGTTAAAGATTATTATAGGGCTGAAGATGTGTCTCAAATGGTAACATGCTCGCCTGGCATGCGCGGGGCACCGGGTTCGATCCTCAGCATCACATTAAAATGAAATAAAGATGTTGTGCCCACCGAAAACTGAAAAATAAATATTAAAAACTCTCTCTCTCTTTCAAAAAAAGATTATTAAACTAGGTTTTGAAGGTAAATATGATTTTCATAATATTTTAAAGTGTTTTTCCTGCTTTTCTATAACTGAAATTTTTATCAAAAGTATTTTTATATTAATTGAAATATCTACCTACTGGGATTAATGCTTTTACTTGGTGTAGGTAATATTTAGAGGAAGATGAACCAGCATAGTAATGAAATACTTTCCACTTCTTCTTTGTTCTCTACATTGTAAAAATTTTCTTCCTTCCTTCCTCCCTCCCTCCCTCTCTCTTTTGTCCTTCCTTTTTTTTTTTTTTTCTTTCCAGTGCTGGGGATTGAAAGCAGTGTCTCATACATGCTAGGGAAGCATGCTACCACAAGCTATATCCCCAGCACATTTTGTTTTGTTTTGTTTCTGTGATAGGATCTTGCTAAATTGCCCAGGGTGGGTATGAATCCTTGGGTTCAGCAATCCCCCTGTTTCAGTCTCCTGAGTGCTGAGGTCAGAGGCCCGCCCCACCATTATCAGCTTCACAGTGAATTTTTGCTTTGTTTTTTTCACATGGCATAGTTTTATTTTTTTATTATTGTATTTTTATTTTTATTTTTTTTAGTACCAGGGACACTTTACCACTGAGCTACATCCCCAGCCCTTTTTAAATTTTATATTGATAAAGAGTGTCCTTATTATGTAAACAACAGGAAGTAAGTAACAGGCACAATCTCAATTCTTGAGGAGCTTCAATTTTAATGCAATCATCCGATAGTGTTTATTTAAAAAGAACTCCTGGAATAGCATGAAGACTAGAAAATTCACAGGGTTGGTTTTGGCAAAAGCAACAGTAGAAACTGATTTTCTGGGTTTTATATTCTTTCCATTCTGTGCTTCTTCATGTCATCAGTGTGATGTTCTGCATGGGCCACCTCTAGAAAGGGTTGCTGAGAAAAACATACCATTTATTCTTCATTGACCTTGTACTAATCTTTCTATACTGTAAATTGAAACTTTTAGTCTTTGGATTAAATAAAAAGTTCTGAAATTTAACAGAGATGCCTCAATTTTATAAAATCTAATCTGATAGGAATAAAGGAGGTTGTCTCATTTAAAAAAATCTCTTTTTTTAATTTAAATTTTCTAAATTTTCAAGGTCATTCTCAAACTTGCAATCCTCCTGCCTCAGTCTCCTGAGTAGCAGAGATTAAAGGTGTGTGCCACTGCTCCTGCCTTTTTTGGAAATATTTATCTACATAAATTATGGCTACCTATATGTTCATCTTTACTTAATTTTGCTGCTTATTACACACTTTTTGTTGACATAGCTTCTCTGTTTATATGTACTGGTTAGAAATTCATTTTAAATCACCTTCAGTTGTGGGCAGTATTTTGGTTAATAGTATTCACTAAAATTCAGTAGAAATTCACTTTCATAATATTGCATGCATGATAACAGAGCTTAATTTGTTAGTTAATTTGCTACGCTTTGATATTTGCTACATATCCAAATGTTCATTAATATATATATATATACTTTTTTTGTTCTATGTTGTTTTTCACTTTTTCCTTTCTATCTTTCCAGAACTTACTATATCTTCCTTGTTTATTGACTACCTCATTTTCGTGGAACACATTCTCAGGGAATTTATTAAGAAAGAGTGCATGGGAGAAAATTCTTTTTTTTTTTATTGTTGGTCGTTCAAAACATTACATAGTTCTTAATACATCATATTTCACAGTTTGATTCAAGGGGGTTATGAACTCCCAATTTTACCACGTATACAGATTGCTGTATCACATCAGTTACCCTTCCATTGATTGACAAATTGCCTTTCTAGTGTCTGATGTATTCTGCTGTCTGTA